GGACTCGCGTGTTCGCTTGTATTGGCAATACCTTGTTCACTTATAGTACGCGTAGCTATTGGCATGCCTGCACCACCTTCAATGGTGGGAGTCCATTATCCAGAAATTTTGAGGTGCTTGTCGCATATCGCAGTGTAGTAGGAAACTCATCGTTTTGCTCATTTGCCTAGTGAATGTTTCCCGTGTTGTTAAGATGCAAAATCGCCCTACCGGTACTGAGTAAAGTTGGTCTTTTAAAATTCGTTCGTCTAGCCATCTTGTTTTTTGTGGGTAGTATATTTGGCAGATAAAATATTCAAGTTAGAATGAAGGTTCCAACGATCAAAAACTGAAGTATGCCTCATTATATTGAAGTGGATAAAAATAAAGCACCCAAAACTCTAAGCTATGTCGTTCACATACAACACAAAACTCGTAGTAACTTGATCACAGATTGGAGGTCATGTCTTTCTGTTTTTTTCGACCTATGTGCACAGATGTAATGTTCTTTGTTTGAGGGTATGGAGGCATAAGGGGTTGGGGAAGGGGGAGTCTATAATACAAAAGCTGGCGAATATCTGGAGGGAGGGGTCCGGGAACATGCAAGTTAAGGGTTCGGAGCAATAGAAAGTGACATTCGAAGTTTGTGCACCTGGAAGGGAAAGAAGCCCCCCGTGTCAGTGACTCGGACAAGCCATCCAATCACGTTATTCGCACAACAGGCGGCCAAACTGAGATGATGGTAATTGCATTTGGGCTTCCTCGTGATGGAACTAACATTTTAATCTTTTGATGGGGATGAAGCGGAGGAGGGTTTATGAGCCACACAATCTTTGCTCTTCTCGCCATCTTTTTCCGGGTCAGTAGACGTAGGGGCATTTTCGGTGGCCTCTGCTCGGGTTTTTATGTGAGATAGGTAGCGATACAAGGCCTCGGCGTCCTCGTAAACTTTTCTGGAAGTAAGAAGGCTGGATTACAAAGAAGGAAGCCGGTTAGGAAGAAGCTAGTATGAGCAAAATTACAAATTAACACCTTTTAAGGTTGAGCGAAATTAATTATAACCCCACTGTAAGTAGGAGTTGATTTCAACACAGGCAAGCCATTACACTATAATAACCGTGGTTTGAAATTTCCAGCTTTCTGATCTTACTGACTGCCGTCAACTGGCAACTGACTGGCAACTGTTGCCCGGACTTTTAAACTGGGCCAAGAGGTTTTCTGTAAACTGTGCTTACGTCTCTTATCATTCGGCAGCAAAAGTGCGATAAAAAGAACGATAGGGAGACATAGTGAAAGATCGCATTCACAGGAGAATGATATCCACAAATCTGTCATAATATCGAGACAGGAATACAGATGTTTTATTTTGCATTGAAACAACGGTCAAGAGCCGGCACAAGTTTTCATCTATCGACGAGCGATCAGTACTCGGGAATTGGCACCCATAACCCTTGAACCGCGGTAGATCACTGAAAACCACTTATTTGCGTTCAGATTCCCAAATGCGAGTCACAGGCCTGAGATCCTGGATCAATAACTGACTAGGTCCGGCTGAACTCAAATTGCATTTGGGACGTGTCTATATGACGGTAAGCAAGTTCGGAATGGCTATCCACGTAGGACTTCGCCATCGCGGATGACGTCTATGTGTTTACACTTGGAGGATGTGTAGCCAGTGAAACTGAAGGTCTAAAAAAACAAGATCCCAGTTTACCCTGTCCGAACTCACAGTTAAATGTAAATAACTGATAAAATAGGTTTTAGTATTCGGGGCTGTGGGTTTGTCTGTCGTCTTCATCGGTCCTGCTCAGAGCAATTGTGGTTGGCACATGAAGACGACCTTGAAAGTTAGCAATGTTGTCTGGCTCCAGAATGAAGTCGTCATGTCCTTATTACCACTAACCTAAACATATATTTTTAGCGGGTAGGAAATGCAGGTCAAAGTTGGGTGCAGTAGTAAAACCACAGATCGCGGACGCATCATAAATGGCTCTTCCAGTCTTGTTTTGTTTGTGCGGTTGTTTCCATCGTGAACGCTTTCTTGCAGTTGATCATCTGCATGATCGCGAACTCCGAGCACGGGATAGATGAAATAAATAAAACATCCTACAGTCCAGTCTATTCGGTCCCCGTCGGACCCTCTGTCTAAGACCGGTTTAAGACCAGTATCTAGTTCGGTGACAATCTGGTGGACAATGACAAGTAAGTGTGTTTATGGAAGTCTACGCTAATGCCTACTACAAATCTGTGGTGAAGAGTCAAATTAAGATTTGCACAAAGTTGCATACAGAAACAAAACAGCGAAGGCGTGACAATTTGCAAATGCTGTAGTAACCCAACTCCGCGTGCGCATTTAATTTTTTGCTTCTCGCGACTGGTAGCACGTGCGCACCAGCGTTTACCGACCCTAGTCCAGTCTAGCCAATCTACTTCAAGGCTGACTCACGCAGGACTTCACTGTAACGACTCCTGCGTTCTCACACTTCGGACGCGGGTCCCTCTCGGGTGGTCGTGCACTCGTCAAACCGGTAACCCCCTACAACCTATTCTTCCCTACGCTTGTACAGAATATAATAATTCTTCCAGCTGGCGTCCCACTTCTCTTCCCACACGAAACCGGGCCTGAAATCGCAGCGGCAAAGGTTTTGCCTATTGAGGTTCTGAATTTTGCCTATTTATTAAAATCACTGCGATAATACTACGAACCTGCGTACTTAAGCACACAGCAACCGCTGGCTAGAATTAGGTACTCACAACAGCTCGCCCATGCAGCATCACACCTATTAATAAACAGATATCCAGAGAGATGACGAGTGCGTACTGAACAAACCGTTGTCTTGCCTTTAACGATGCACTAGTTTAGGCTTTGCAGGTGACGGAAGAGGACTCACTCCTACTGTTAAAGAGTGCAAGATCAAAGTGCTCACCTGTCTGGCTTGGGCTTCGTCGTGTCAGCCGTGTCACCCGTCTTGGAGGCCAACTGTAAGAACATTAAAATGTTATAATCTTCAAGATACAAAGGAGACTTGGCATTCTTGGATAATAAGGGTGCCGTTTTAAAACATAGACGATTACGCCAGACTGAATAGGCAATCTTGGCGTCCAATGCTTTCCACATGTGTAGTGACCATCTCGCATGAGCTGTCTGTTCTCGTATACGGAACTTCTGTTATAGCATACATGAATTTTCCCACTACCAATCTCTCACTGGCATCTACGCGTAGCCAGCCGTGACAAGTGGATGAGAATCTTTGATGATTTTCTTTCAGCTCCTAACATAATCACTGATGCTACCGCTAGCCCAACGCAGTCGAGACCTGTGCAGTCCACTCAGACCATCCTTTATCTCTTCTATACAGGATATGTTTTTTCCACTGAACTCCATCTCTGCTTATTCGTAAAGACTACTTAGGTAGAAAGGAAGAATGAACAACCACGCAGCAGACAAATAGGAGATTTTAGTCACGTCTGAAGGGCGGTCTTGGAACGAGCTTCCTTTTGGCCACCTACAAAAAACAACACTGTACAAATTACCACTTGATTAGTATGCGTTTTCTTCATTTATTTCCCATGCCCTTATTTTATAGAAAACCTGCTCGAAAATATCACCCCTTAACGCATTTGGTAGAAAACTATGTCTTCTTTTTCATAAAAAATTGTATTTGAAGAAGGCTATCTTTAGGATTGAAAATAAATCTTCCGATTTCAGAATTATTTAGAACCCCAACTGCCGTTGCCCTTGGCTACGAGCTGCCAAACGACCATCTGTATACAGTCCGCCTGGGGGAAGTCACAAATACCTCTACGGTAATAGGAAATAGTCACACAGCGCTCATAAAATTTTGCAATGTATGTGAACCAGGTTGTGATAGAGGAGAAATAAACACGATCACTTGGACAAGAACTTTAATCGCCTTAAATTTCAGGCTCCTTCTGGAACCCATCATCAGATGGGTACAACGATGCTTTATGAATGGTAATTCCACGGTCTGACATATTTCCCATAGTTATACATTTTTTTAAATCGAAAGATGCCCTTGCTTCGAGTAAAACACTCGAAGAATTCGTAATTTGCTACCAAATGTATACAGGAAAGAATAGTTTTGTTTTCTGTATAAGGACATCCGAAATCAAGGACAAAAATCATACTATTTAGGCAAATTTTTGTATCATAGTTTATGTTTGCGGCCAAAGGGCAGCTTGTCTAAAAGCCGATGTTCTTTCATGACTGAAATACGGTGGGATTACTCTGCACGACAATTAATATTGCGAGAGCCATAATTTCCGCCTTTTCGTTCATCAGATAAAACACATGCTTTAAAACAAATAGCAGGCACGCTGGCTGCTATATACATGGGTTTTACTTCTTAAGGATAACTGTCGTGTGCAACGAAACCGGAGAGGTTTCAAACGTTTGCTGCAAGGCTATCCAATCACCAATTCCTCGGATTGTCTCCGTGTTCTGTACCTCTGAGATATTACGGCTAAAACTGCCAGATGTTCTTCTTGCAAAAGTTAAAAAACTATACCCCCTGCTTCCACTACATTTTGTACCGAGCTCCAATACTGGTTTACTGTTAGAAAACCCAGTCGCACTTAAAAGTCATAATGGATGATGCAGAATCACAACTTACATCAACAATGGACTCGTAGGCCGTTGAGCATGAACTCAAGTCCATATCGTAGAGCTGATTTATAGTGAAATTATTGTGCAAGATCTGAGTCCCACTGGGCGCCGTTTCCCGACTCTCGGATTCGCATGAAAGCACAGACTGCAGTTTTGAAAAGTTCAGGGGATTAAGGAGAGGCATGGGTGGAGGGATGTGAGCAAGTAATGAGGAAGAGTCACAAGTGCCTGTGGCAGAGGCAGGCGTCCGTGGCTCGACGGCCTGGAGATTATTAAAGGATAACTCGGCGTAGTTATGTCTGTCTTTTTTCCGCGAGGAGGGGCAGGGCCTTGAGAGGGTCGGTGCGGTTGGAAGGGCAATACATTTATCTGTCTGTGACGTGGAGGCCGGGGATTCGGGTCGACGGCCGAGAGTTTCTTGCGTGAACGGTAATTGCGAAGGCTCCGGAGGTTCGATGGGAAGGGGTTTCACTGGCTTCGAAGGCGGGGGTACGCTGTAATCCCTGTGAAAAAGAAAGACCACTCTCCATGTAGGGCAATGATATCTCTCATCAGATTAGCCAACAAAGGTAATGGGAATTCATTTTCTTCAAGTACTGCACCACAACTGAGGTATAAATGTAACAGGTCTTTTACTGTAATGATGATGCGCATTAATCTCATCGGAAATTAAAGAAGGCGGGATGGAAATTGGAGTTCATATACTGGAAAACGCATGGGGACGCTGAGGGACCTGTAGTGTTGCAACCCCGGGCGCATCCTGCAACGCT